GCACCAATTAATCTAAAATTAATTTATAGATAATTTTATTAAAAATATACTAAAAAATGTTTCGCTAATAATATTGAAAAACAAAAATTTATATGCATGATGTAATTAACTTAATATAAATGAAAAGAAGTATATAATGATTAGTTTGAATTCGACGGAATCAAAATCAAATTTTTTAAATTCTTTATGAATTTTTTTTTTTCGAAATTAAACTCTAATAAAAGTATAAATTAAGTAAAGAACTTACCATTGAAATAAATAACTAAAATAAAACCACTTTTTTTGACCTTTTCATGACAATAAAATTTGAAAATAAAACACTCATACATTTATACTTTTAACATTTTTTAATTTCTATTCCTTTGAAGTTTCATTGCTTTAAAAATTATCACTTTATTTAAGTCAGTAATACTGACATTAAGGAATGTCACTTTATCACACTTTGACCTTTACTCAATTCAATTGCGCTTTAATTAAAATTAAATTAGTTCTTTTATTCTTTTAAATGATTATTTCATGTTACAAACTGAATCTGCAACCAATATCAAAACAAGTTTTGAAAACTCTGCGCATTTGCAACAATCATTTTGCTGTCAAATATTTTTATCGCTGAAAATAATGCAGTTAATAATTCTTGTAATTGTAAATAACTTAAGACTAAAAGAAGTAATCATAACCGTAAGCTTTAATTAAAAATGATAAATTCAAGAAGAAACTAGACGAGCAGAAGTTTCTAAGCAACAAGGCATGAATGGATCCATTCAAATCTACTTCATAATTGCGTCCAATTATCATTTTTAATTTGCCTTCTTCCACAAAAAAGGTTTGCTGGAATGTATCCAATATTTATGCGTCGATTTATTTTTTATAAATCTACTAAAATCTTAAAAGGATACCCAAATATTAGAGCTGCTGCCACACTTTCAGCAAAAATTGTCTTTCAAGAGAAAGGAGTAGAAATTAAACTAGAACACATGTGAAAATCAAATATGCTATATCCCCTTCTTATTGCTCTGTTAATATTTTTACTAGCAAAGATATGTAGCACAGTACCAATCACTAACATCAAATTACTTTTCAATAGTAGCCATGCAACACCAATCAGTAATAATAAAGTTCAAATTCTAAGCTTGTAAGAAAAGCTTTTGAAGGCCAATTGTCCTTCATAGTACGATGCCGTGTGATGTGCAAACAAAGTTATCACTATAATTCTTTTTCAAAAAGTTAAGAAGTTCTGTAAGAAACTTGCGAAAAAAATATAAAAATTTCTCATTCCAGGGCACATCTCCAATACATTCCTGCATCTCCGCAGTATAAATCTAACAAAATAAACCCAAATGTGACAAAAATTCAAATGATTTAATCCATATCTTTTTTATCCAAAGTAAGCAGTGAAAACAGCAAAGATTTGCAAAGGTTATTCTTAGTACTACAAAAATCATCGGAAAAACAGCAATGCAAAACAATGACATAAATATACCAAGTCTGAAATGCAGTAAGATTAGTGATATGCTTATTACTTAAAGCAATATTTCTTCATGAATACAGAAACTAATTAATCCGGTAAACAATTATAAATAAGGCTTGCATTTATAGCAAGAATATCGGTAATGGCAAAATAAAATTGTGCTTTTGAAAACTAAATTTCTGTGGTAAAATATGATTAAAGAAAAAAATTTATGCTCGCTAGAGTAGACAATGATAGCACTAAATTTATATTTGCAACTAACACTAATGAACGTTCACTACAGAACACAGATTAAGAACAAGTGAAAAGATCATTCTTCTATCAATGACAGTACACACATTTAATCGAGCAAAAATAATCTGACGTAACACTAACAATAATGTCAAGTAGCACTATCTCTAATATGACGTGAAATGATCCTTAGTCAAAAGTATAATACAAACACAGCAGCGAATTTGCGCAGAATTCTATACTTCAACTCAGAAACCTGTTCATAACTAAATATCGATGTATACATAAATAAAACTCGTCATGTTAATTCCAATTTCTAATCGCTTATTTCTTCGAAATCTTGAATATTAAAATAAAATCTTCTCTCGGCTAAAAACAAAAAAAAAAAATTAACCATGGACCAAAACACACCCACAATTGTAAATACTTAAAAGATGAAACAAATATTAACCTTGTTTTGGTTAACTGCTGATGAGACTGCAGTAAAAAATAAAGCTCTAATTTTTTGCAAATCAGAAAAAATTTTTTATTGGTTTTTCAAATTACTATTAATATATCGGTAAAAATTTTATAACAAGGCTATGAAAGATAACAAGTAGTATTTAGATACATGCTAGCAAAATACTGAGATACTGAATTGCGAACTCTTAAAAAAACTGATAAAACTCGTAAAATGAGCTTTTCAAAATCATATTTACAGCAAAAGTGAATAAGAAGTGTAGCCAATCCAAATTTGTAGTATGTTTAAAAAATTATCACTGATGCAATGAATCCATTGTCCATTACCTGTGAAAATAAATTATGAAACTTATCGAATAAAATTTTTTAATCTGCAATTAGATGTTAAAAATGTAAACAGATATTTGAAGTAATATGCCATAATGAGGCCATAAAATCAAATTGCTCAAACTTTACTTATTATTTATTTATTTTTTTCTTAGTTTTCATATTACCAGTTTTTAAATAACTAAAACAAGTATACACTAATGCTACACCAACCTCGACGATAACCTGATCTGTCCCATAACAAAAAGTTGACCCAAACGGATTATCAGTTCCGCTGCGAGTAAGCACTACTGGCTGAACAGATGTGTCGCCACAAAATGCAGCAAGAAAACTTTCTCGCTGCAATTAATTATTACTCATGAGGTGGACATATGTCTCTGGTAATAGCAAAAACCGAAGAAAATAATCCAGTAATTTGAAATCTTTATGAATTGAAAAATACCTGTGATGAATTAGTAATAATCAACTCATCATTGATAGGAATAGAGAATTTACACCGTGCATAACTGAAATAAAGATATACTCTTGATTATTTATCACATAATGCTCCAAATTAATCCGCTTCAAACAAATAGTATTTTGATTGCTTTCAAAATTTACAGAAAGCTAATTAATCAAATAAGAACACACATTCCAAAATCGAAATGGCCAGGAAAATTGGTATGTAATATAAACTTTTGAACACGATTCGTAATGCAATCGAACAGCAAATCCTGAACATGCATCATGTTAGTAAAATATTATCACAAATATCAATGTAAAAAAGTAACAGAAGAAGTACAAACCACTCCTAGTGACAGATAATTGAAAAAATAGTTGGGACGCGGCCCGCGCAATTTTTTTGAGTCTTCTCCTCGATGAATTAACATTCTATCGGCTTTTGTGTAAAATATTTTCGATGGAGTGCCCAACGCTGACAAAACACTCTGAAAAACTTACAAGATCAAAACTGATAACTCTAAATTATGAGCAACAAGTAACTCTTAAGTTCTTAATCAAAAATCTCTACCTCTGTTGTGTCACCGAAATGAATTGAACGCTCAATTTTTTTCGGTCCGAAACTTTGCTTTGGACTTGACTCATCCACTACAGGAACTACAAATAAATCGCTTATAAGATCACTTGTCCAATCCTGTCATAACAAAATCAAACACATTACCTTCTGCCACAAAAGTGAAAAAAAGGCCCACAATTCTTTTTTTATCAGTTATAGCTTTAACTTCTACTGAAGCGACAGTACCACACAATGAAGTTCCAGAGATCTGAGGATTTCTGAAAATATAAAACTTACAAATATGAAGAAATTGCATATAAAACAAACTTTAAAAGTAAAAATCAGTACCTTACTAAAGTATGTGAACCACGATAAATAGTCATTTTTGAAAGAACTGGCGGAGAATTTCTTTTATAATGTAATGAACCCAAACCAGAAGAACCAACTGGTGAAGCCTTTAAAATAAATTGATCAAGAATGAATATAACTTCTAATTAAAAAAATTAGTTCCCTGAACTATAACTTCAAAATAATTTTGCAGTAAAAAAACATGCTTACTTGGAATTTCGATGTTTCACTTACAGTCGGAAAAGTAAATGACAATCCTTTCCAACTTAATTCGTATAAATTTTGCTCAGCAACGTAAACTGAAAAACGCTTTCATTCGTACAATTTTACGTATACTTATGTACGTATATTTGTGTGCTGATTATTGAATTATTCAACCTTCATTTGTAAACTGAACACTAAAAGAAAAAGAAATTATTTTTGTTCAATTTAAATGAAAAAATCAAGATATGAACGAACAGGAAGAATTTATAACCTCCAGGATGTGTAGCGCCAAAACATTTTTCCACTTTATTTACATCTGCTTCATCATCTGGACCAGAAAACACAACACCTCTGAAGAATAATTTAATAGACTTCATTAACTGCTTTCAAAAACAATAAAAAAATTTTGTAAGCATACCCGTATTGCAAGAATATGTGCGAAAAATCGTAAATTTCGATCAGCTGAAAGATAAAAATTATTTAAATGCTGATAAAAACAAAAAGTTCTTATATTGTTTTCATTTAAATGTAGAAAGGAATACCCGAAGTAATTGCGAATTAGGTTCAAAATAAAATCGTATCCCATCTTTTACCAGACGTATAATTATATCTCTCGTAAGCGGTTCCTAAATTACAAAATAAAAAATGATTTTTGAACACGTAATGTATTAGCATCATGCAGAATGCACAAATTTACTATTCTATTAACAACTATATATATTCATGAATAATTAATGAATACAATTGTTGTGAAGGTAGTAAGATGCGAGGAGATTGATCTCAATACCTCTACAACAAATGCTTCCTGTTCGTTGAAATCTTGATGTGTCATGCCTTTTTAGAAAAATTGAATAAAGTTACGAAAAGTCTGAGAATAAAATATCCACAATAATTAGTCATTAATTTTACGATTTATTATGTATAAAGACAGACTAATGAATGATAAAAAGTTTTATCTTAAGTTTGATTAAGGAGCAAACTACGGTACCTTGGATTGTAGCTTCTAAATTTAAATACCAGAACAAATTTCTAATTCTAATAGACTAAAAGTCATACTTGAGAAGAATAAGTTAGTTCGACATTTTGAATATGCTTCGACGCATTATGCAGTGCAATTATGGCTTGATTTATAGGCATGCCAAGAAGAATCTCAATAAAATGATTTCTGATTCCTCTCCCTGGTATCACTTCCACTTTTAGCATCTTTACTGCCAATAATAGCGGTAATAGTTGCCTGTGTTTAATGAGAAAATAACCTAAACAATATCAGTTTACCTGAATGTGTGGTAGTAGATATGAATGGAAATTATGAGTTTTTTGTTGGTGGCCCGTTAAATCTGAACCAATCACAATGGATGAAGTAGAGAAAACTTTAAAAAAGTAAACAGTAAAAAATCACTTGAACTGCATTGTTTTTCCGTCATATTAATCTATAAATGATCTAATCAGTATCATTATAAGTATGCAAAGCAGTTTTGAGATCAGAATGTAATCGAAGCTTCGTTGGTAATAAATCTTACGTGGACTTTTCTTCAAATGGGCAACCTTTTGATCTTCACGTGATGAATATCTGAATATTTGTTAACATCCAATTCAGATATATCCTGTTTTTGTAAAAGATGTACTTCTTCAGATAAAATTTTTAGCATAAAAATATTATTCGACAATACATGAAAATCTTTTTTTAAAGTATTATTAATTGATTCACACGACTGAAATTCACGCATTTTTGTATTCGTAATTAATTGAGTAGTGAGCAACAAGTGCAGGGGCAAATTGTCAGATTTAATTTTAACAATTTTTTGTACAGTACAAGAAATTAAAAACGAATCATAAATAATACTTGAGAATTAGATAAAGATAGTAGTATTGTATAATACATTTAGAATCAAATAGAGATTACAAATTAATGCTCAGCAAAACAAGAAAAACTTTTACGTCAGTAATGGCAATAAAGTACTGAATGTAACTAAATTTGTTCATTTTTTATCATAGCAAAAATTTGAATAATTAAAAATTACGCATAATATGACTGCAAGTTAGTAAAAGTTATTACTAGTGAATAGCAGTAAAGATCGGCCAAGTTCATTATGCAATATAGTTGAGAGCAAGAAGTTTAATTAATTATGAGGTAGTATTTGCTGTGAATCTATTCCGAGGCATAATAGTGCACGAATATTTTTCATTTCCTTTACCACTATAAAACTTGAGGATAGCTTTTTCTCGTTCAATATTCACAATAACGTATCCACCATTTGAGAAGCCAATTTGTGAAAATGGATTTAATCCCACTGGATAACTGCAACGTCACTAATTTTATCATGAATAAAAATAGAATATGCAAATTGCAAAAGAGAAAATTATTAGAATAATTTATTTATTGATTGGATATATGAAAGATTTTCCAAAGAGTTTAATTTAAATATTTTGAGCATTTTTCAGCAAAATATATAATATGCTTAATTACCGAAATCGCAATGAATTTTTCGGAATTGTATGAATATTCGCTACTGAATGATCGGATCGAGAGGCAGCTCCACTCACAATATAATGAAGCGGAATTTCTCTTGCATAATTCAGTGAAGATTCAGTGTGCTCCGTAACAATATGCTAATATAAGCAATATTAATTTAAGGTTATTAATTCTTTGTAGAATAGAATTTAATACTATCTTTTGTATGCATATTAATTGAGTTCATTTATTAATAACTTTATTCAGAATAAATAATTAATTATTGTAACAAAACTTTATTTAAATTTCAAATTAGGGTTTATAATTTTTGAATAAAAATTGGAACCTGTAATGAATGATCATGTCCAGCAACATACGCTGTGACACTGTATTTTTCCAAGAGTGGTTTTAGCTTTTGAATCAGACAATTCATTGAGCCATGCTGAGAGACAGAATAGAGTGGATAATGACCAACCACAAATAGGTAATCGGCTCTGAATATGTAAATCAATCCAACGTCAAAAATGATGTCTCATCTGAATTTGACCACAATTCAGTAATTTAGTAATGAGATTAAAAAAACAACCATGCATCACATTTTTCATTTTTAATTGATATTTGTCAGCAACTTTTACAATTCAACCGAAGACTTTTACACAAACACATAGCAAACATAGTTT